GCTAAATCACGGCGGCTCCCTGCCAAACAGCCGCTAGATCACAGCGGCTCCCTGCCAAACAGCCGCTACATCACAGCAGATCCCTGCCAAAACAGCCACTACATCACGGCGCTCCGTGCCAAACAGCCGCTACATCACAGTAGATCCCTGCCAAACAGCCACTACATCACGGCGCTCCCTGCCAAACAGCCTCTAGATCACGGCCGGATTCCTGCCAAACAGCCGCTACATCACAGCGGCTTCCTGCCAAACAGCCACTACATCACAGCGGCTTCCTGCCAAACAGCCGCTACATCACAGCGGCTTCCTGCCAAACAGCCGCTACATCACAGCAGCTCCCTGCCAAACAGCCGTTAGATCACGGCGGCTTCCTGCCAAACAGCCGCTACATCACAGCGGCTCCCTGCCAAACAGCCGCTACATCACAGCGGCTCCCTGCCAAACAGCCGCTAGATCACGGCAGCTTCCTGCCAAACAGCCGCTACATCACAGCGGCTCCCTGCCAAACAGCGGCTACATCACAGCGGCTCCCTGCCAAACAACCGCTACATCACAGCAGATCCCTGCCAAACAGCCGCTACATCACAGCGGCTCCCTGCCAAACAGCCGCTACATCACAGCAGATCCCTGCCAAACAGCCGCTACATCACAGCGGCTCCCTGCCAAACAGCCGCTAGATCACGGCAGCTTCCTGCCAAACAGCCGCTACATCACAGCGGCTCCCTGCCAAACAGCCGCTACACCACAGCGGCTCCCTGCCAAACAAACAATACCTAAACGTTGTTTCGAGCGGTATTTCAAAGATCCAAGTACCCCGTGAATTCTATTTTAGTCTACTGTAGCATCACAAACATGAAGATAAAACCCAGAGTACCAACACCACAACACCTATATCTCAGAGACAGACATGCCTCTCTATCGGCTCAAGTCAAGTCTGTTTTAAGTTCAGACGAGAAATGACCCAGGCATGTGGCTAAAGTGATTAGATAACATGGTCGCATGTAGAAGGTTGCTTTCAGATAGGTGGTGCATCTTGTTTTCTGGTTAATCACAGGATTTCCTCTGGCTTTCGTGCAACAGCTGTGAGCTTCTATGGAACACCAGGCATATGAGGTACATCCGGACATCTAAGTGTTTTCAAATACTTTAGTGCATCAGTTCTCAAGCTGTGGGTCACGACACCCTTTTTACGGTGGAACGACCCTTCCACAAGGGTCGCATAAGACCATTGGAAAGCACATATTTACTGAAGTTTTAAAGAAGGAACGAAAATAATTGTATGGTTGGAGGTCGCCACAACGTGAGAAACTGTATAAAAGGGCCGCGGCATTGGGAAGTTTGAGAGCTTCTGCTTTACTGGTTTCTAGGGCCGCAGTTAGGAGTAAACAGAATAGGCAAACGGCTTTCTTAACAAGCATGTCGTACATGTTGAAAAATTAGGGAGTCTCCTCCAAAGTCGCAGTGCATATGCCTTAGATGCGAGGAATCAACAGTCTGCATACAAATAAGCCAGATTTTTAAAAAAGGATGTGCACGCAGAACTCAGATTCTGTAAAAAGACCAACGTCCAGAAATGGTTGAACAACCAGAAATTTCCGCCATAGTTTACAGCCGGTAAATACTCAGAAAATGAAGAAGAAGAAAGCATACATTAATTTATAAAGGGTAGGTCACGTCTTCAATGGTGTCAACAATGCTACCAAGAGGTAACCGTTCAGGAAGAAATGGCAAACTACTAAACGTAAATCTTGCCCAGAAAAACCACAACAGCTAAAAAATGCTGGGGTTAGTTCTGAAACGTCATGTAAAGTTACCAGATACGCCATGTATATACCGGTAGGCTTCCCGAGATCTACAGGAGGTAAATCGATGAGTGCCTCGGTGTCACCGCACACACCAACCTGACTACAGAACTTCATCCACTTCTTCTCCAATTTCCATCTCAGCATCCGACGCACTTCCAGCATCTCACTTTCGTCGGTGCATTTTGTGGATCTCACTGTCACCGTGGACTCTAAAGGCCTCAGCACCTCGGTGTACCATATGCCTACTAATTCTTATGATTTTCTTCTCTACACGTCCTACCATCTCTCTCCCGGCAAGAACTCCATTACTTTCTCTCAGCTTCTACGCCTCCGCAGACTATGCCAGGAGAATGACGATTTTCAAAACAAGGCCCTAGAAATTCTGGACTTCTTCCGGCGGCTTCAAGGGTATTCTGAACATGTCTTATCTGCCGCCTTACCTCCAGCACGGTCTATGCATCGTGCCGAGGCTCTCGTTTCTAAGCCTAAACATCACCACAACAGACCTGTCCTCACACTTACTTACCGCCCTCACAACAACCGTGCTAAAAATATTCTCCTTAAGCATCTCTTAGTTCTCAGGGCTGACCCTGCCACCAACACGATTTTTTTTCTCTGAACTTCCTCTAGTGGCCTACAGACATGATCGTAAGCTCAATGACATTTTAGTCAAGAGTCGGTTACGGCCTGCGTCAGTCCCATTTCGTCACGGTCTCATACCACAGACCTGAATGCATGACTACCCATATGTGGTTCAGGGGACAAGTCTCGAATCGTGAATGCCACATTCCACATACGTGAAGCATTCTACTGCACAAGCCGCATTGTCAAAGATATATGGCATGAAATACAAGGGTAAAACGGGTCTACGACTGGCTGACAGGTGCAGACATCTTTTGGATGTGCAGAATGTTGCGTTGAAAACAGTACCACTGCACTTCAATTCCCGGGATCACCAAGGTTTCCATAACACGGAAGTTACAGCCATTAAATCTAGCCACTCCGTCTACAGAGTTAGCAAGTATCTTGAAAATAGCTTTATTTTTACTGTGGGCACGTTAACACAAAGAGGACTAAACTATAAGGAAGTTTCATCTAAAATCCCATACAGTTTTATTTAAAACCCCCCAGTTACAGCCCCTGGCATTTCCCTGGGGTATATATTCTCCTGTCCCACGTGTCTCGTTAGTCTACTGACAAGACATCGATATGGCTGCTTCAAGATACTAAGCTAAGTAATTTTGTGTTTTTGTGTGGTATTGTTTAATTTATGTATGTGCTGATGAAGGCTCCATAGCCACAACGTTCACGTTTTTCTTGTGTTTGTTATATTGTGAAGCTTGCTGATTTACTTTTGGTTGGTTTTCATATCTTTTCTTGTGAAGAATACGCAACTAACTGGTATAGGTTAACTTTGATACTGCAAGTCGTAATCAGTTTTTGTCTTAGTAACTGAATAAATGCATTTTTGAACACATACCTACAAACATTTACACACGCATACACACACCTTCATATGCTACGCCTGTCAAATCACTAGAGTTTAGCCAGTAAAGCAGACTCTTATGGATTAAAAGAGCAAAAAATACAACAAGGGCTTTGACTAAAAAAGCCCAAAGAAGAGAATGGAAAAGAATGGTTTACAAAGGTGTGACTACAGAAAAATATTAATCACTGTCACCATGATTTGAGTCATCGCCTACTATTTTCATCAGAACTCATTCGATACTCTTTCTCTTCTTGTGGTTCATACCGTGTGGAGTTGGTACTTATATCTTTCCACACACCCTTCTGGCTCGTGTACTTTCTGTCACTTTTGACACAGATGATCTTTTAAGTCCTGATGTCAGCATGTCCAGCATCTTGTCTCTCATTCTCCCTCTATATTTACCCCTCCAATTTTTCCACCATCCCGATGTACCTGAGTTTTTATTTCTCATGACATGACCAATGAACGTAGAAGGTCTCCTAATGTGGGCAATCAATTATTTATGTGAGTCAGTTTCTTTCAAGACGTCTTGGTTATACTTCTTCTATCCAGTGTATTCTCAAAATTCGTCTATAAAACCACGTCTCCACTGCTTCCACGGAATCTTTATTTATTTATTACCTGTCTGTCCATGATTAACTTCCGTATACTAAGATAGTGTTTATACAGCTGTTCAGAATATTCTCTTTCTCGTCTCAGCTGACAAAGAAAATTGCATTGAATATTCTTCACTGTGTAAAATGCTTCCTTTCCTTGAATTATTTCACTTTAATTAAACTCAGTTTTCATTGCTGACCAATATTTCATAAAGCCACTCAACAATGAGCCGCATGCTGCACTAGAATGTTGCTAGAACAAACTCCTTGTCCTTAAAGGAAGGTGACACAGGTAACCCTTTCATCCGGAGTAAAAGACTAGGTACTTGATTTCTTCGCCCTGATTCCTGTCAGTTGGGAATTGCCTTTCCAAAAAAAAAAAACTGTTAACCATTTGGCCAGCACATACTAAAGAAATCTCGTTTTCATTGGCTTCCCCTTTATTGTAAGTAAAATTGTTTCAAAAAAATTGGCCGTCCTAATTAGTGATTAAGACTTAGAGTTTAACGAAGGGGGAGAATGTTTTAGATGTGTCTGATTTATATAAAGCGATAAAGAGACGGATCAACAGTAGGGGACAGACTGCAAGAAAAATATCAGCGTTTTCATGATTCTTGTACAGTAAGCTGAACAGGTTCTTTGCAACCCACTTTGATTATATAGATGCAACTCAGCCTAATTTTTGTTTACATTAGTTGCGAAAGGCACTGAGGTCCTTTTTTACGTTTCACGGCCCATCTACACACTTTCTCAGTCTCGTCTGGGTCAGAGGGGTGTCACGTTGTGATCTTTTCGAAAAGTCTCTCGTGGAACCTAGGCTCAGGTTGTGGGTTGGGGGTTTGGGTTAGGGCCAGTTCTACATGTTCTGAGGTCGTTAAAAGCTGTGTATAGAACACATGACATCAGCGCTTATGTAATTGGATTCGTGACAACGTGACATCCCTCTAAAGTAGAACAGTCTGAGAAAGCATGAATGAAAAGTCAGCCAGTCTGTAGATGGGCCGGGAAACGCGAATAGGGCCGGCACTGCTTATGGTAGAACACATCAAGGATGAAAGAGGTACTTACGCTGCTAACGTGCTGGGCTAGACAGGCAGGCAGTGGCAGCATCTAGTGCGCGAGGTTGTTAGCCTCCACCGCTGAGCGCATGTTGTGTGACATGATAGGGTAGGAGACCAATGAGGTGGACGGGGCGCCAAGACTCTGGGTCAGCGAGTGCGCCACTTGCAGCTGCGGCATGGTCGCCATGGACACGGCTAGGTTGCTCTGTGTCAGCGCTAGCGCCCCAGCCACATTCTGAGTCAAGGTCGCAGTCGGTGAGACGGTTAGACTGGGTTGGACAGAGCGACCTACTGCGGCTGCTAATCTCTGAGCCGCCAAGGCATGCTGGGTAGCCAGGTCACTGTTGAGAGCCACCTGTTGGGTCAGGGAAGTGTTCAGTTGTGCCAAGCTGGCTTGTGCGTGTGCCTGAGTCACAGCGTTGATAGCAACAGCCGAAAGTTGCTGGCTCGTGGGTGCCTGAATGGCTGCTGCGGCGGCTTTGCTGATTCTATACATCGCATTCTGCTCCAATAACACTTCATTTATCGCAGACAAGTCGGACACTTGCTTCCTCAACTCTCCTACCTTTTTCTTCAGCACAACAATTTCATCCTCTAGAAGAGCGTATCCAAATCCAGTTCGAATTATTTCATACTCGTCATCTAACCGACGTCTTTTAATTTCTGAAATGTATTCATAAGATCGATCACATCTACGATCGTACTCAACACAACTTTTCTCAAATTCATGTCTGTACTTGCATTTCAACCCTCTCTTGCAATCTCCATTGAGGTAGTCCCGACACAAAGGGACTGTCGCTTTCATCACGTTGTGTGGAACAATACTCGTATTGGAGTAGTTCAGTCTAGAGGGCAGTAAACCGGTTCTGTGAAAGTTCTCTTCTTCATCTCGGGAACAGTGAAGGAATTTGCAACTGGGGCGGGAACAGCCATTGTTTTGAAAGTCGTGGCAAAAGGTCAGATCCCGTTTTGTCGGCGGTTCCGCACGATCATCCTGGGTCGGATGTCTATAGCGGCATCGTTTACCGCGAGTACAAACGTTCCTCATGTAGTCACGACAGATGCCTTCCTCATACTGTTCTCCGTTGATTGCTCGACTGTTTCCATTCAAAATCCCCGTGTCTTCGCTGCCGGAATCACTTTTGTTGGACATTGCGAACAAAGAATAATAACAAGTTAACATGAATAATTGGTTAAAACGAAAAAAATGAAGTTAACTTAAAATATTACCACAACAATGATAAAGTGTTAAATATGTTAAACGTTTGCCATATTTCTCATAGAATTAATTTGGCGATTAAAAATAAATTATGTAGAGGCCACATAAAATATTTGAACGAGTTATTTGAAAGTCGGCGTTAAGACGAGGAAATGGTGCAAATAAATCCCGGGCGTGTCGTGGTTTGTTTCGGTGTAAAAATGTAGTGCTCGCAGCTGACATATAACTGCGTGCAGTGATATCTAAGAGAGCTCGCATTGGTCGCTATCGCATGTGTAGTTGTTGCTGCTGCTGCAGCGGCCGCTTCAGTCTTGCTGGTGGCTGGTTTGCTGATGCTAGGCTGCTGCCAGTTGAAATGTCAGGTCGGTTTACCTGCAGGAATTCAGCGCCGGTGGAAAGCGAGCAGTACTGCCCCTTTAAAAAAAAAGTAAAATGAAAATCTAGAAATGTCCTGACTCCATTTGAACGAAACGTTATAAGCATCATATTAGGAAGTAAAGGAGGTCAACGTAATATTGATTATGGTTGGAATGAGTTGAGTTGAGTCAAGAATTGACATCACAGCACAAAGGGCTTTCGCATGCGTGCTCTGTCCTCATCTTCAGCAGCCAGCACACAGTTCCAGTACTGAAGGATTCTGCTGCTTAAAAACAAAAATCTTTCGAATCACTGCAGTCCAACCACCTGCCATAAGATTTCAGAGGCCAAATTTATACACAGCCTGCCATTTTCCTATGACCAGTGTAATTAACAATATTGTATAAAACATTCCAACGCTCAGCTTCTAGCACTCTATTTTATGACTGGATGCAGACTGTTTTCACTCCATACAACCTCCATACAACATCGTTTGTGTATTCAGGTCTTTCATTCAATCTTGAAATTAATAACCTGCTTCTCATTTCCAACGTGAGGATTTCCCCGGAGTTATAATTTCCTTGTGCATATTGTGCAGTTAATTTTATGTTCATTGTCCCTGTGTGGACGCATACAAAATGGTTGCAGCGAATGTTTCTATGCTGCCATAAGTGTTCTAGACTGGTATTTTAACATGTATCAAATATTGCTCTATATTTCATTGTAGTTTTCTATGACTAGCTACTTAGATCTGGTAATAGATTCAAATGGGTTGCTTTAGTTATAACTAATATCGAACACTGACCCCCCCCCCCCCCCAAGTAAAATAAAAATGAACAAAGATTATAGTATAATTAGACATCATTTCACAGGAACCCACAGAGTCAACGAAAAATGAGGAACAACACGCCTATACGAGAGTCACAGATCAACGAAATAGGGCTACCAGGGACGGAGCTGCAGGGGATTGCAGGAGATAGTAAAGAAAGGGACACCTGAGCAGGAGAAGGAAGAAGAGAAGGAAGAAAAAGAGGAGCAGAAGAAGAAGGAAAAGAAGAAAAATAAATGACGAACAAGAAGAAAATACATTAATTTAATTCTACTTTATGACACGGGCAGTAAAAAAAAAAATAAAAAAATGAAACTGCACTATAACATAATGTCAAAAGTGGTGACTTAGGGCAGGTTTGCTTCAGACAATTACCTCATCACACAGAACACTTTAGCTACACAATCCAATTAATCAGGAACAGTTTTACAAAGAGCTTTACCTAAGTTGGCTGAGTGTCTGTGATTCATTGAGCGAAGAAATGAAGGTGAAAGCCTACAAAATACTGGGGTTCTAGGAAAACTAGTAATCTAGCAGTAAAAGTAAAATATTTTGGGTACACTATTAGGTGTGAGACATTTATTAACGTCCGACAGGAGAGATACAATGACACAAAAGGGAGATAGCAAAACAAATGAGAAGATAGCGTCAATAAATTATTTTATCCGCACACAAATTAAAAAAAAAATATTTTTTTTTTCTTCAGAATAACACCATTGGTGAGATGCGATACCGCATTGGATAGGAGCTGTCCAGCCTAACTGCATGTAGTGGGTTCTAAATCACATTGAGTCGGTTTTTTAATGTTTTTTTTATAGCTTCCATATCGACGCAACCTAAATTAAGTACAAGGAAATGTTAAAAGAAGCAAAGATGGCTGGAGTGATCTTCGTGAAAGGTAAGTTCAAAATATAGATCTAGCACAAAATGCATGAATGGCCACAACGTTTGAGTAAGGCGCTAGATTTGACTACATTACTGAGAGGGAAGGTACACTGGGTACCAGAACATTCTAGCTAGACCAGTGTGAAGTCTATTAGAGGACATCAGGGCAGCTACCATAAAGAAATCAATCGGGGCTAGGGAAAAGGGAAATCAAACCCACTAATGTTTTCTTAGCGAGCGAGGAACGGCAGAGGG